CAGTACTCTTTAACATGAATTGAATTTTGCCTGTCAAATTAATGTTATCCTTTTCAATAGTATTAATCCTGTCAGCTAGCTTTTCATTATTGGTCTGTAAAGACTGTATCATTTCTAAAAATACCTCATTCTTGACTTTGTTATCAAACCATTTTCTTAAGGATATAATATAAAGAAAAAACTGAGTCCTAATATCCAATAAATGGATGTATCCCAATAACCATAGGAGTCCTGCAAAATACACTCCATAGTATCAGCAAAAAGGTTATTAGAATTTTGTACGGTAATTATTGGCCATTACACAACTTTCAAGTTTACTGATTTATTTATTAATCAAATAGTTACCTTTGTTATTATATTTAGTAAATTGTTGATGTAGGAGGTTCTTCTATTTCATTGGTTGAATAAAGAAACTGCCTTGGCCTTTTGATAGGGAAGACTTAGGTAGGCAGGGTAGACAGAACAGAACTCTGGGAAGAAGTGCAGAGTCAGAGATTGCCGCCATGGAGCCAGCTGCCAGGTCAGACATGCTGAATCTTTCCTGTTAAGCCACGACCTCGTGGTAAAATACAGATTATTAGAAATGGGTTAAATCAAGATGTGAGAATTAGCCAATAAGAGGGCAGAACTAATGGGCCAGGCAGTGTTTAAATAAATAGTTTTCTGTGTGATTATTTCAGATATAAACTAGCCGGGCGGCAGGACATGTCCCACCACTCCTCTTACTACAGATTGTTTTAGGTGTAATCATCTTTATTGTCCAGCAGGTTTCGCGGTTGCAGCTGCATGGCGAAGATTTGCAACTGATGGCAGTGCAACCGGTGGCGACAAGAACAGTCCTGTGTGGCTTTGGTTTTCAGCCTTGGTGCCTGACAAATATGCTTGGCTTGACAACTAAAAGTAATTAAATCAATTCCACACACAGAGCAACGAGCCTAGAACTTATAAGCAGGGAGCACAAACCGTAAGCTGCACAAGTTGCCACACAGCAAGGAACGAGGTAGTGAGGGGTGGGGTGTGCGTGAGCCTGGAAAATTTCCAAGTCACCTCACTTAGCTCCTCTGTGGCGGGGTTTTACAAAAAGCCCACTTAGTAGGTGAAAGCGAGAGGTGAGCAGGAATGGGGGGGTGAGACCTTCTGGGCTGTGGACCTTTGGACCTTTTAGACCAGTCCATCCAGTAGGTGTGAACTTGGCATCTACATGGGGCACCAGATGAAGACAGACACTAAAAAGAAATCCCACACTAGCTCAGAATTGAGTATAGCAGAGGGTTATTTATTTAGGGGTAGACTCACACATCACAGTCATCTTCTCAGGAACAGCAACCAAATCCAGCAGCCAGAAGAGAGAGGGAGCATGCACTTTACATCAGCATTTATATTAGAGGCCACTCCCAAATGAGCTGGTAACTTAGAGGCTACTGGCTGAAGGAGTTCCTACAGCATCCTGGTGTGGATAAGGTTCTTTTTTACCAAAAGACATAGAAAATAACTGTACCTATGAGGGGAAGCCTTAAATACGAGCCTCAGTACCCCTCAGGGCTCAGAATTGGATGTCTATAGCAGGCAAGGAACTGAGGGTAAAAAATTAACTCAAGTACATTACCTCTGCATGTTCTCTATTTTTCGTGTGAGGGAGGAAAGTGAAGAGGTGTGGAGTAGAATTAGGGGAAGAAAGGAGAGTAAGGGGAAGAAGTACAAAAGTAGTGAGGTGAAGATTAAAGAGTAAGGGCTGATCTCCACAAAGTTGCTAGTTTTTACAGACATAGTTGGGAAATTCCATAGGCAAGAACAATAATATGCATATCAAAATTACAAAGAGGGCAGGTAGAACCTGACAAAGCTGTACTCTGGAACAGGTGACCTGACCCAGGAAAGAGCCAGCATTCAAGGGGAAGTACCTGACATTCCAAACCAGTAGGTAAAGTTACTAAATGTCCCTGAACCGAACTCACCCATTCTCCTAATCTAATCTCTTTTGTGATAACCAGCTTTGGGGATGCCCGGATTTGTTGGTTAGCAAAGGTGGAGCACGCTGCCTTTCTCTCAGTCCTGTCTTCTATAGAAATTTCTATGTGGTCTGTTAGCAGGTAATTCTGTGGGACTGGTTCTCTGTAAATTTGACTATTAGAGCAAAGAGTGAATGCCATCACTCCAAGGCCTCTTGGCGTGGGGGAAGAGAGCAAGGTTGCTCCACTGGCTGTGTAGAAGACACACTGCTGAGGTGTTTTGGGAACAAACCGCATTTCAAAGGGAAGAATCATGGCTTCACAAGGTTTCCACAGATAAGACAGAGACTTTTCCAAAATACAAGTGTCCCCACAGCTCTGCAAAATGGGTTATTCCATGTGTACATGTACATATACACTTCCTGTGGATCTGCCTATTGGTCTGTCAGCTGTGCATTCACTGTAGAGTCTTGTGGGCTCCAACATGAACCAATAGAATAGCTTCATGGGAGGGGGTGGATGAAGTCATGCATGAGACATTTAAGACAAAGTCTGACTCATTTCATGTCCATTCACAATTGGGTGGTTTACAAACTCCTTCCCAGCAACCTTTGTAGCAGGTGTAATCATGTGACTGAGATCTGGTCATTCTGATTCACCTTGAATTGGGAGTGTCGCTTCCAGTTCTTCAACCCCCCCCCCCCATGTTGCTCTTTGAAATATACTCAAACCCGTTCTATCATCTTTCCACCTAGACAGGCCTGTGACAACTTTTAAGATGAGCAGGATTTTACTCTCTGGGGAAAGATTATTGAGCCCATTGCTCATCTAACTCCAGGTTTGTTTTTTCAGTGTCTACATACTCTAGACATCAGCATGATTCCTTCCTAGCAGACTCTATTGTAATAGGTTCCATATTCTTATGGGTGTGCGTGAGGTCCACATGGCATACTTACAGTGAATATGAGGCCTGAAGCAGAGAGCTCAAGCTAAATTCTGTCTCAGCCCTCCCCCATTACTCAGAATTTCCACCTGTTAAATGCAAATCACTTATAAACTAGAGGGGCTCACTGGTGAGAATGAGAGGAAAATCAATGGCAAGGCAAGGCAAAAAGCCACTTGGTTCAGGCTCAGGTTTAACACAACTAGATCCCACGAGTACTGTGCTGGCCGGAGAACATTAACCCCTGTGCTTCAAGCTCCTTCTTGCCTCACTTTAACTCTTTTAACAGCCCAGGCAGGATGCCAATTGTAGCCAACACAAGACCCCAAAGACAACTGTTTCTGTGTGTATATACACATGCTCCTATTGGTGTATTCATGTGGGTGTGCAGGTACATGTTTGCTTACGTATGCTCAAAGTTAGTGTCAGGTATCTTCCTCAATCAGACTCCACATTAGTTTTTGAGGTAGGTCTGGTCTTTCCCTTAATCTAGAGCTTGGCAAATCAGTTCATGAGCCACAGGGATCCTGCTGTCACTATTGCTTCTATGCTGGCATTATAGGCACATACTACTATGCCTGTAAGCAAATCTGTAGGGCATTTTCTTGATTGACGATTGATGTGAGAAGACCTGCTCATTATGGGAAGTGCCACCCTTGGGCTGGTAGTTCTAGGTGCTATAAGAAAACAGGTCAAAGCCGGGCACCGGTGGCGCACGCCTTTAATCCCAGCACTAAGTCAGAGGCAAGTGGATATCTGTGAATTCGAAGCCAGCCTTGTTTACAGGACAACAAGGGCTGTTACACAGAGAAACTCTGTCTCAAAACACAAAAAGGAAGGAAGGAAGGAAGGAAGGAAGGAAGGAAGGAAGGAAGGAAGGAAGGAAGGAAGGAAGGAAGGAAGGAAGGAAGGAAAAGAAAAACAGGCCATGCAAGTCATGGGGAGCAAGCCAGTAGGCAGCACTTCTCTGTGGCCTCTGCATCAGTTCCTGCCTCCAGGTTCCAACTGTGACTTCCCTCAGTGATAATGAAGCGAACCTATAAGCTAAAACAAACCCTTTCCCCCTGAAGTTGCTTTTGGTCATGGTGTTTTATCACAGCAATAGAAAACTCAACTACAATAGTCTTTACTGCGTCCCAAGAGAATGGCTCTAGCTGTGCAGACCTGTAAATGTCTCCTCCAGTTGGTGGCCAGAGACTTGCTGCAGGTCCCTAGAAAGATGCCAGGGCCCAGTTCTTTCTGGAACCATCTCAGAAAAGCAGGGCTTTCTAGAAGATTCTCCCTCTCATCTTAGGGGCCTTTCTTTCACATCTGCCTAAGTTCTATAACACATCTCTGTCTTCTCCAGCCTCAGGTGACTTTCAAGGAGGAGACAGGCTAGGGCTATCTACGCCTTTGTGAGGACCACAGTCCCTCCTGAAGCACAAGAAAAAAGGAAAGGAACACCGCAGGATGACTAGCAGTGATGCCTAGTCTCTGGTCATGTGTCAAAGGAAGCTGGCACTCATCTAGTACTTCTGAGCACCTGTCATACACAAGACATTATGTTCAGGGCATAGCCATGAGCAAAGCAGTCAGTCACTTCCTGATCTTGTGGACTAAAGACGGAAATGCTCAATTGCGGATTCTAAGATGATGCCTGGTGGCAAGATGGTAGGTGGCACACACTGGAACCACACACCTGGCACTACAACCACTGTCTCCCAAGAGACAGTATTAGGAAGATATGGAACTGACTGCCAGCCAGGCCACTGGATTGAAGCCATGAGTGCTGGTGCTCTTGACCAGGGAGCTTGGTGGCCCCTAGCAGTTTCAATGTCCTCATCTATGATATTTGCAGAGACAGCATGACACTGTCAACCTGCCAGAGTACCGGGCGTTCAAAGAAGTTAAAACATGAAGGCTCTCAACTACTGCTATTAAATGATTAGCATTAGTGACATGTGGCTATTTACAATACAATGTATTGTATTAGTCTTAGGTGGCAATGGTCATGTGTTGAGTAGGGAACTGGGAACCTGTGCAGCACCAGGCATGTCATATACTATACCCCGTGTGAGCTCACAGAGTAATACCACAGAGCTCAGTGTAGACCTCCTCACAGAGCAGGTATTTAATAGTCATTTATTTAAGAAAATGAAACATCACAGTACCAGTATCCCACCCCTATTTCCCCCACACACACACACCAGTCAACACCACCAAGCAATTAGTACCCAGGTTCCCTCAATCTCCACTCCAGGCCCAGGAGGCCAGGGGGTTAATAGCAGTCCTCAAAGTCGGAGTCCAAGTCTGAGCTTTGCTGGTTCTGAATCTGACTCTGCTTCCGGTATAAACAGGCCACCTGAGGAAAGGGTAGAGGGTATCAGCAGCTCCTGCCAACTACTCCTACCTCTATGGCTCCTGGCAAGAACCAACCGCCTTCCCAGGGCCTCACCTGGTCACTGGTAGTGGCTTGCTCTGGCTGCTTGTCTCCACGGACACGAATGAACCGAGGGAAACGAAGGGAGATACCTTTTTCTTTGTCCACCTGTGGGAGAGAACAGTCATTGTGGTGGGGGATGGCAGGTTCTGCAGGGCTCCAGTTGCAATAATCTGACAAGTGATTCCCTAGTCTCTTCCTCTTTCCTGACTTGGGCCTTAGCTTATGGGACTGAGCAATGGGCTGTAAAGGTTAAAGAAGGTGTCAGTATGTTTGAAATCTTGGTACCCAGTGTGCTGTAACACTCAGGAAATACCAGCTGCTATTGTTATCTGTGCTGTTAGCATCCTGATGAGGACAAGTACTGAAAACCAGCTAGCAGCTCTCAATTGTCAAGTAGCTATGAGCCAGTTACCTCAGCTCTCTGTGATGCTCATTCTCACCTATGAACATAGGCACACAGATTGGCATTTCTATGAGGCTTAAATGGGCAATGTGCCAGTTACTAAGCTATGGCTGCATCACTAGAAGTGTGTAGGACAAAGGTCAACTACTTGCACTTGGTACCAAGGGCCCTTGCTCTCTAGTATATAGTAAGTGTGATTTAAAGAGAGAGAGAAAGATAAACCAAGCCTGGAACAACTTGCTTGCAACCCCAGCTGCTCAGGAAGATGAGGCAGGAGAATTTCAAGTTCAAGGTCTGTGTGGTTTGATAAGAATTTGTCTCAAAATAAACAATATCAAAAGCACAAAAACAAAAACAGAAACACGGTAAAAATAGAGGAAAGAAAGAAATGTATGATAGAGCATAACACCCCAGTGAGGGGCCAGGGATGGGGCTCAGAAGTAAATCACCTGCCGAAAGTCCCCCAGTAAGGATCTGATCAGCAATAGAGAACTTGCCCAGCATGCACCAGGCTCTGACTTAAGTACCAAGTAACCCTATGATGGAGGTGGGTCTTGTATCTTATCTGTTGCTTTCATTGGTTAATAATAAAGAAACTGCCTCGGCCCTCATAGGACAGAAAATTAGGTAGGTGGAGTAAACAGAAGAGAATGCTGGGAGAAAGAAGCTGAATCTTGGAGTCGCCATGATTCTCCCGCTCCAGACAGACGCAGGTTAAGATCCTCCCTGGTAAGCCAGCTCGTGGGCTACATAGAATATTAGAAATGGGTTAGAACAATATGTAATAGCTAACCAATAAGAAGCTGGAACTAGCCGGGCCAGGCAGTGTTTAATAGAATACAGTTTCCGTGTAATTATTTCGGGCATAAGCTAGCCATGCGGGCGGCACGCAGCCCTGCCGCTCCTATTTCAACAACCCTAAAAAGCAAAAACCCAGGAGGTATACTTTTCAAACTACAGGTATGATTATACTCAGAAAGCATATGCCAATAATGCTTCAGGACAGGAAGAACGGTCAAAGGAAAAGCCTTAAATTTGAGTGGTACTATCTCCTGTGTGCTGCCTACTGACTGCTATAGCCAACAAGGCTACATCACTGATCTGTTCTGACACTGGGACATTAGCCACGGAACTGCAAAACTTGGTGGCATGACAACGAATTCTGGGTGAAGTAGCAACTTCAGTCATGAAGGAAACACGGAGGGGGGAGGGGGGCAAGCTGAATTTTCACATAAGTCTAGGTTCTCAAGTTACTGCAGAGACGAAGGTCAGATGCTACCAAAGGGAACAATGTCACTGTCTTCTTACTACAGCTGAGAATATCTGATACCCAAATATATTCACAGCTTTTCAATCAACACACAGGAAGAGCATGACCCAGAGTGCCTCCCGATCAGTTCTGCCTTCCCTCCTGGAGTCTTTCCCAGACCCCAGCACTCACCAGGCCCCGTGCAGCAGGGTAGATGGGAGACAGAGAGAGATCTGCACACTTCACCTCCCACACGACACTGGGGTCCAGCCAGTGGTCTGGAGCCACTGCCCCATCAATTCTCACATAGGGGCGTGGGGTTGGCAATACCAGGGCCTGCAGTGAGCAGAAGGAAAGGAGATGAGGTTAAGCCTCAAAGCCAGGGCTTTGGGAGAGAGGGATTAGAAATGAGGGAAGAGAAGAAAGTAGAGATGTTTCTCTAAGCAGTCCTTAAGACAAAGAACTAGATATGGAGTATCCAAAGGAAATGGAAAAGGGAAGAAATAAGACACCATTGGGACTGAGAAGGAATACTAAAGATACAGAGAGGCAGAACCTCAGAGAGACATACACACACACACACACACACACACACACACACACACACACACACACGAAGGGGGAAGTTTGAGGAGGGAGGTACAAACCTAGGGAATAGCAGAGAGATATCCAAGAATGGCACAAAGATGGGGTCTGACCTGAAAATACCAATATACAGGACAGAGATTCACACCTCAAAATGCCTGAGACCAGTAAGAGAGATAGTCCTTCTCTAGAGGCTCACAGCACTTCTAAGGGACAGTTCCCAGATGTATGCTGTGCTGGGGCATGCAGTCCCTTGGCCAGCATCTCCAGGAAGTAGTTGGCAGATCTGGCACTTGAACCTAGATGTTCTCAGAATCCATGCTGTCAGCAGCCTGGCACAGGTGAGTGTGATGAGAGGCACTGGGTCGTCATGGGGCCTACCTTCAGGCTCTGGTGATGCTCCTCCAGCTCGTCATCACTGAATCCAGTTCCCAGCTGCAGGAGAATATGTCAAATCAGAAGCTCATCTGACCAGATAGGGTGATGCTAATGAACATTGGGCCAAAACTCATAGGAAATAAATGAAAGGCTGTACATGTCATGTACTGCCATTTGTTTTCTAGGAAGATCCATCTCCTCTGCCGTGTCTCTCCAATGTCTAGGCAAGATCTCTACCACTGAGCCACAGCCCCAACCCCTCACTGGGGGAGTCTAGGCAGGGGCTCTACCACTGAGTCACACCCCAGCCCCTCACTGGGGGATTCTAGACAACACCTATACTGCTGAGCTACATGCACTGACCTTGTGACTCTCCTACCTCCCAAGACCTAGGATTACAGGCTTGCACCACCACTCACCACTTCTACTCTTAACACTACCAGCAAACTTAAAACTATCATTTAGGAAATGCTAAAAAGGAAGTAGTCATAATCTATGCTGGCAGCTAGCATTAAACCAGTTATCTAAGTTCCTAGCTAGACAAGTCCTGTCTGTACTGATAGCCGTATTATTGTTTGCCTTCTGTCCTAACAATAATGCTTTTAAAACCCCATTCTGGATTAACACTGTAAAAATGCAAAAATATTGCAAAATGTATTTTTGGCCACAGACTAGTGCCCAAAATATGACAAACTACAAGCCACCTGATCACATGGTTAAATGTGAGATATGACTCATTTATTCAGAGACAGTGGACCTGCACATGCACATCTCAGAGTGTAACTGTATCCCTCCCCATCATGTGACCAGCACCCAACTCCCCAGGACCTTGCATATGGCCTGCAGCTCTTCACTCTCTTCATCATAGGCAGCCAACAGGAAGCCCCCATACCGGCCAGCACGCTTCCCCCGACCCAGATAGGCACCAATCACCACAAGATCCAGAGTGTCACCCACACCGTCAAGGTAGTCCTTCTTCAGCTGGAGAAGAGAAGTGAGGGATGAGAGGGGAGAAGGGCAGATGGGCTTGTCCTTAAGTACTTGAGAACTCCGAGGAAGAGGAGCAAAGCTCATGGGGAAGCTGCAGCTGAAAGGACTTTTCATCTTGAAACAAAGCAAATGGTTGGAAGTATGTGAGGGGAATCATCTTTTATCTTTCCAGGCTGAGCAGTAATCTGGATTCTCCTGCCTCAGTCTCCAGAGTGTTGGGGTTACACTATGTGCCACACCCAGCTCAGGGGTCTTCTTGTTTCCCTCTTTGCTTCAGTCCCCAAACAGTCAAGTTAACTTACTCAACCCATTCCTTCACACTTACCCTTCCACTCCAGAAACACTTATGAAGCACCAGCTAAGTGCCAGACAGGCACGTAAGTAGGTACAAGAGTGAACTACTGCTAAGGCAGGGAAGGTTTACACACAATGAGTTGCTTCTAGACAGAAGAAACAGACCACAGCCAAGAGGAAATGCACAGCAGGCCTAGCTTGCCCAGTGATCCAACTGCCTGTCATCTTGTGCAAGAAAACACTCCCCCACACCCTTCTCACTTCTGCCCAAACCTACATCACACTGGCTTATTCTCTATAAAGTGGCCAGAGTACCTCTGCAAAGTGACAATAGGATCAGACTTTCTCTGAGACCCTGCTGACTTCTTGAAACCTTTAGAAAAGAACCCAGTTTTATCTCACAGGGCCCAAGGTGCTACAGTCTACAGCCTGCTCCCCTGACCTCCCCTGCCCACCCTGTAGCCTCCTGGCCCTTGCACCTGTGGCTCTCCAGTCCAGCTGCTCTACCCTCATCGTCACACGGCCCACCCCTTCCTGCTGTCTAGAGCTGGACCCAGATGTCCAGCTGGATGGCTTTTCTGTACCCAAGCCCTCCCTAACCAGGGTGACTCTATCCTCATGAGCTCACCAGAGACGGTTTATCTTGGAACAACCCTGAGGACTCTCCTTTGTGTACTTCATACAAGAATGACACAGCACAGGGAGCACAGAGACCTGGCTTGGCTTCCTCACCCTGATATAGTTCACAGGGAGTGGCAGGAAGAGCCAGTAGCCATGCTTTGCTGAGGCAGGACATGTGACTGGGCTGGAATCATATAACGGGACTCATGCTCAAACAGGAAGTGTTTGGAGACTCCGCTGCATAGTGGGGACAGACATCCATACTGGGGAGGCCAGACAGAGGCCAGAATCACCTTGAGCCAATTGTGTGACCTCTTGGCGATCTCATAGGTGGCATCAACATCCAGGGTCTTCACCATCAGCCCCTCACAGGAGTCTGTAGGAAACATGGAAGCCTGGTTGCGAACCAGTGGCTCATGAGGCCTGAGCAGGCAGGATTCCAGGCCAATCTCAGGGGTTGGGAAATGGAAACGTGGCCAGCCCAGGCTACAGAAAGGTTTCAGACCCTGAGAGAGATCTGGTTGTACTCACCCTTCACCGACTGCTCCAAGAACTCAGCGATCTGCTCGATATCTTTGGTGTCCAGGGAGGTGGCGAAGACAAACTCGCCCTCTGTCTCCACAAAGTTTTCCCGGAGCAGTTGCCGGCGTCGAGACAAGGGCTGGCGAGTCAGGGACTGAGGAGAGAAAGTGGACAACACTGAGGAAATAAAAACAAAAAAAGCCCAGACCTTGACAGTGTACACAGGGGCCACACATAACACATGGTTACAGAAAGCTGAGGAAGAAGGAGCCAGCGGCCAGCAGGACTGCCACAACTCTAACTGCAGGTGGAGGGATCAGAGAAAAGCAGAGCCCCCTAGTATGCTCAACTCAGGATTACCTAATAGGAAGCCATCATCCAGCCAGCCAGAATGAACACTTTGTGGAGTTATAATTTAGTGTTTATCTATTATTAATTTGTTTATCATAATATGAAGATATGGGTACCCATGGCATATGTGTGGAGGTCAGAGGATAATTCTGTGGAGTCAGTTCTCTCAACTTAACACAGGTTTCAGGGACTGAAGTCATGTTACAAAGCTTGCCAGGCAATCACTTTTATATGCTAAATGCTGTCTCGTAGGCCCCATTTCTTGTCATTTTTAATACTACCCAACAAAGGTTAGAGCCATGAAGTTAATACACATTTTCAAAAGGATCATCCCCACACTAATGAAGGACTGAGAATCTCCTTCGAAATGAGAAAGTGATTATCAATGCAATGGTCCCTCAATATCTATGGGAATGAGTCTGGGAGCCCCCCCCCATCCCAGTTATCAAAATTCATACATGTTAAGGTCCTTTATAAGCAATGGTGAAGTAAGTTAGGTAGGGGTTGATGCCTGCTTGCTAACTCAGGAGGATGAAGCAAGATCACACACATACAAACTTTATAAACACAGACCAGACAGACAGAACCTGAATAAGATGTTATCTATCCATGGGAAAGCTAACCTCTGTTAACCTTACTTCTCTAAAACTCATCTGTCTGGTCAAAACAATCTGCACTCTGTGGCTCAATTAGCCAAAAATGTATAGACCATTATTTCTCCTCATAGCCCAGTGACAGATTCAGGTCTGGACCAGGTACAGAGATTTGACTGGAACTGCCCAGACAGAAGACATCGAAAGAGAAGTTAAGAAAAGAATGGGAGATCTTGTCACTCAGCCCAACCCCCTAGAGCACACAGGAGGAGTTCTCTCCAGGCTGGTTAAGAACGATTTCTGTGACAGGAATCATCAGCTTCTTCCCTAAGTGACCATTTTCAAGCTTTCATTCTTAAAACCCTTTATAGCTTTTTTTTAAAATTTTTATGTTTTTAGCAGATACTGGAGATATAAGATGGTTTCATAAATAGTAGGCAGGTACTTTACTTCTGAGCTCCAGCCCCTCACTGGGGGATTCTACGCAGGGGCTCTACCACTGAGCCACAACTTGTTAAAAAGTACTTGAGGACTCTCTTCAAAGGGCTTCTATTTAGGGGTAGGGAAGAGGTGGTCATTACTTCTTGATATGAACGATATCAGAAATTTAAAATATAGTTAATTCATTTAAAAAAAAGTGCATTCAATATGTCAAAATAGCACTTATTTTTTTCCCCTTTTTATGTTCTGCAAACAGAGCTTACAGCCTTGAGCGAGCCAGGCAGTACCCTACCAATGTACTACACCTGCACACCTCCAGACAGTGTATATTATAAAACACATATCTACTTAAAAATAGTGTGAAGAGAGGCACTGGCTGATTAACAGTATGCGGACTCTTTTGCTCAACAGAACATAGGCTGGTTTTTCCACTGCTTCTAAAATCACTGAGAGAAAACTCCACTTCTATCATAGAGATGTAAAACTGCATGAGGAGACCTCAAAATCACTGCAAGAGGTCTGGGGGCCTCTGGCCTATTGAGCCCACACTTAGAAAGCCACTGCCTGAGCAAGACACAGCAGCTCAGTGATGGAGCAGAATCAGAAATGGGAGCCAGAGACAGCTCCAAACTCACTCCAACCTGCCACTCTGTGTGGTCACCTGTCACAGAGCAGAACTCACCTCTCCGTTGAGGAAGATGAGATCAAAGGCATACAGACACACCTGCACCTGTATCTCCGATGCATCCACCTCCTAGTAACAAAATAAAGAACAGGCATGAGGGAAGGGGAGGTGACCTTCTGTGCCCTATCCCATCATGCCCCTCTCCCCAGAGAAGGACACAAGTCCTGAGTGAGGATGGCTTCTGGGAAATCCTGACTTCATTCTCCTTCACTGCATGATTTGCTTTCCACCCTCCCCTGCTGCTAGCTAATGATGACAAAAATGCCACAATTCTAGCCAACTAGATATGAAAGAAAAGCCATCTGCGGTAACGGATGTGTGGCCTCCCCAATAGGCCTTTCATAGAGATATAGGAAAAGGACCCTTCTATCTTTCTTAACTGGGATCCTGGGGTGAGACTGCGATGGCTGGAATGATGGTAGTCACTACGCCAAGGCTAGGAGATCCACATCCAGATTCACTCTGACCCTTAGGGGGCCAGGCAGGACCCAAAGTCAGGACCGGGAGGAAAGAGACAGAGTGCGGCAATGCAACAGGGAGTTGATGGGCTGATGCTACCTTGCGCTTTCGAGTGGTGAGCACTTGGAATGGCTGGATCTGCTTCTTTTCCCGATCCCAGGCCACAGCCTCAGTGTCCAGGATGAAAGAAGTGACAGAGGGGAGTTTAATCTGCAAAGTGAGGATAGAGGTCAAAAGACAGACGCAGGCCAATGAATCCCTTTTCCCTCCATTGTTCTCATGAACCACAACTGACCTCAGCAAGATACAAAGACCTTCCTGAGTCCTCACTAAGGGGCACTAGCTTTCCTGGTGACTTATCATTTGGCAGCAGCACCCACAGAGAAACTTCCCTCTTCCTCCAACCACATTCAACTTCCCCTGAACCCTTGAGGTTCCCCTCTGAGGTCTCTGAGCCTCCACCTAACCACACCCTGCCTCAGCCACCCCAACTACTGGGCTCCAATCCTGCACTCTACAATAGCATCTCTGGCCAGCAGCCAAGGTGACTTTCACAAACCCTGATTATTACTGCTAGGCTTACTATTAAAAGTGGTATCACTTCTTTGGGCTCTGGAGAACTCTTCATCAGCCCCAGTCCTCTCTTCACTTCAGCAAATCAGCTGGCCTGTGTCTCTGAGGGGCAGGTATCTCACAGCACTGGGCCTTTGCATACCCAGCTCCCTATGCAATGTCTGCCTTCCTCCTTACCCTCTTTCCTATGGTCTGCCTTCCCTGGGAAGCCTTCTTTTCCCTCACTAAAACACTGGTACAATGCCAGGGGTTGCCTTTCATGTTACATCCCAGAGCTAGCTGTATGGTTTAAGACACTGCATGACAATTCAAGAATGTCCAATTCAAATCTCCTTTTCCCTCAGGGAAAGGAATTAAACATAGGGCCTTCAGGACTACATGCCAAGAGTGGCATGCCTTCAGCCTTCACTGGTGGACTCAAGAAAAGTGCTCCACTGCTAAGTCACACCCCCAGTTTCTCATCGGTAGACTCTAGGCCATTGTTCGAACACTAAGCAATGTCCCAGTCAGTTATGGTTCTTATTCAGGGTCACAGATACTAGACCTTTTCTTCGAGTCTATAGTGTGCCCCTCTAATGAAGGCAGCAAGCCCTGGTTGTGCTACCTACCACAGGCTACAGAACATAGCAAATGCCTAATCAACATTTGTTGAGTGAATGTGCACAGAAAACATGCTCCATAAGGGTACTTCCAGGAAATAAGAAAACCAAGATGTGCTCAGTTGATGTGGGAGTGTCATATATCAATCTGTTGATTTCATTGGTTAAGCAATAAAGAAACTCCTTGGCCCTGATAGGTTAAAACATAGGTGGGAGGAGTAAACAGAATAGGATGCTGGGAGGAAGAGGAAGTGAGGTCAGACTCTGCTCTGCTCCCGGAGAGACACGACACCTCTGCTCTCTGGAGCAGAGACGCCATGCTCTGCTCTCCCAGGCAGCTCCGACCCAGGATGGACGGAGGCTAGAATCTTCCCAGTAAGCGCACCTTGGGGTGCTCACACACATTACTAGAGATGGGCTAGTCCAGGTGCGAGAGTTAGCCGAGAAGAGGCTAGATAGAAATGGGCCAAGCAGTGTTTAAATGAATACAGTTTGTGTGTTATTTCGGGCATAAGCTAGCCACGCGGCCGGGGTGCTAGGGACGCAGCCCCGCCGCTCCTATTACAACACTCAGTGGTTAAGAGCACTTGATGTTCTTACAGAGGACTTGGGTTCAATTCCCAACATGGAGGAACAACAGAAAAACTCCTGGGCCAAGGCCTAGCCCTGCTCTCCCTCTGAGCTACTTGTAAAGCCGCAGCTGCTCATAGGCCAGTGCCCTTTAGGTCCTCTCTTGGCCTCACTACTGGACAGGCTTCAGACTGATCCAGGATTCTACTAAGGGTGTTAATCAGAACCTGTTCTAAACAGTGCTCATAAGTTGAAGCCAAGGGGGCCAGGGGTAGGAGTAGGGGTCTAAGAAAGCATTAACTTCCCCTGGGCTGGGTGAGACATAGCCTAGAACCTCCTTTTCCCTTTGTTTCTATCTGGAAGTGTGGCAGCTGCAGGGAGACAAGAATAGGATGCAAGGACAGTGGAGTCAGAACAGCCTTGAATCACCTGCCTCCAGACTGCAAAAATAAGCAACATCTGCTCTGGCCATACTGAAGCAAGGCTGCTACACATCTGTTAGTCTCCTAGTAAGCCCCAAGTAAAGTTGGTCCAGAGAGGTCTATACCACAGCTCAGCAGGCAGACACTCACCTTGGGGATGCGGCTGATGATGTCAGGGTACTTTCCTGTGTTGTCTTCCTGGTTCCTGCTGAAGATCTTCACCTCTCCACCTTCCAGAACATGGATCTACCATCACAGGGAAGGGAGAGAAAGTCAGGCAAGCCCTTCCTGTGTGGCACTGTCTTCAGACCCCACCTTCACTGGTAAGTTTGGGAAGCTCAGTGAGATACTACATAGATCTGAGCAAATCATCTTAAGTGCCCTGGTACTTGTAACCTGTGTATGGCATCTACCATCTTCTTCTTCTTTTAACATTTATATAATGTGTGTATGCATGTGCATGCTTGTGTGCATGTGTGCACAAGATTTACCATACTGTTGAGTGTAGAAGTCAGAGAACAAGCAGAGGAAGTTAGTTCTCCCCCTGCACCATGTGGGTCCTAGGGATCGAATTCAGGTTATCAGGCTTGGGAAAGCATCTTGCCTACTGAGTCATTTCACCAGCCTGGTTGCCTGCCTTCATTGCTTCTGACTTCTCATTTCCCCACCTCCCTTTCTTTGAAAGCTCATCCACCTTGCTGAATGCAACCAGACCTGTCATGAGTTGTGCTACAATTGAACCATTCTGGATTCTACTGTTGGCTTAGTTGTTTGAATGCTGTCTGGTCACAAAATTTAAGCAGGGTTTTATATATACATGCCATCTCACATGTATGGTATCTTTAACATATAAATGTATATGTTTATAATCATGACCACTATTATAAACTATTTTCTGGTTGTCTTCTCAGTATTATTTTGACGACTCACTGCTGAGGCCGCACATGTGGAATCCAACTGCCGCAAAGCCTCAGGTATCACTCACCTCATGTGCTATCCCTTCCTCATGTGATAAACGCCAAACTAGTGCCAAATTCCACAGATACAGAAAAGCCACAGCACACTTCCTCAGCACCAATGCATTGGTCCCAGGAGGTACATGCCTGTCACTGCACTAAGATCACACAAGGACCTCCCAGAATGGCAACCATAAATCATATTGTATTCACCAAGCACCAAGGGAGTCAGCATCTCCTGATGACCCTTCTGTGGGTCAGAATTTCTAGCAACCCCATTTTGCCATAAGCTGGAGATAGGTACCGCACTCACTGAACAGACGGGAGATTAAAGCCAAAAAGAGGACTGTACCATTCAGGACCTGTACTGAGTATCTTCCTCACACAGGAAGGACTGTGCTTAACCCATACCTGTGCCCGCTGCCCATCATATTTATACTCGCAGGTGAAGTCCACCTCCTCAAAGCGCTTCAGTACCTCGCTGACACCCCGAGTGGGATGGGCCAGCATTGGTTTAAGAGGGATCCCTGGGAGGAGAAGAAAGCAAATTAGAATGGCAGAGGGAAGGTGATCAATCAAGGAATTAGAGGGAGAGGCAAAGGCTACCAATGTGCCCAGGACCTACTACTTTCTTCTCCTGCCATCATGTCAAGGGGAGGAACACCCGCATTTTAGAAGAGACACTTGGGTCCCCATACCAGCCTTTCTTATTATTCCTGTAATCATAAACTGATGTAAACTGATGCAGAAAAATATGTAATCAGTAATAATAAGAGCTTCTGCAGTCCACAGGAATCATGTAGTGAGATTTCAGTGGATAAGGCAGAAGGCTGACCAAGCACAACAAAAGTATTCTCATGGAGGCAAAACCAGTTCACATGGTGCTGGGCCTACCACCTTTTGCATATCAACTGATTCTCACAGTGAATCTCTTGTGAAATCATAAGCACTCTCCCTTGATGTAAGATTCAGCAGAGTATAGACAAGTGGGCACGACTCTTTCCCATGTACTGGTATACTGGGTCATCCCCCCTAGTGAGGTGCCTGACCTGGATCGAATCATCCTTCCTGTGGGACCTCCAGTGGGAAATTTAGACTTGGTTCCCATAGTCTAACCTCCACTTCACTCCCTGAGATACATCAGAAGCCACCTCCCTGCAACTATCTTCCATTTGGAGGACATGTAGTCAGGAAAGGAGTCTTTCATATAGATCACATTCGGGACTTTCAAAGATAAAGAGACATCCAAGCTCAGGGAATTGTCTTTGTTTTGTGTGATATAAAAACTGGAAACTTTACAGAAGAACAGAAGGAAAAGAATAAACTGATGCAGAAAAATATGTAGTGGAGAGTTCATTTTCACCCTCAAATCAAAGTCCCACACCTGCTATAATTCTTGTTCTGAACCCCAAGGGGACACTGAGGCTGGCACTCAGAGGTCCCCAATAAAGAACAGTATATGGTCACATCAGTCACATTCTTTATGAGCAACATGATTAGCTCCCCTCTTTCCCTGATCATATAGGCTTTAGAGCAACAGCTTCAAGATAGCAGAGGGACAAAAAAAAGGAACCCAGGTCCTTGAATGACCACTGAAGCACAGACACACGCTGCCATGGCCACCTCTGAATATGTAGGCAAATTCTCCTTGGCCAAGCCACTGCCTTCTGGGGAAACTTTGTTGCTGTAGCCCATGTTCCACTAAGTTATAAGGGAGAGCTCAGAGAAAAAGGAAAGGGTCTCGGCAAATGGAACAAGTACTCAGAAGCTATCTGGGTGCAGCTGCTCACACCGGCTCAATGCAGGATAGCAGTCCCAGCTTCAAGGGCTCATGGCATGGTACCTGGGCTCAGCCTGCAGTGCTCTGGGAGACGTTCCAGCCCATGTTCCAACAGCACAGGGATGATTCGATCTAGGTCAGGCACCTCACTAGGAAAGGATTAGAGAGAAGAAAACAAGATGACAAGGTCTTTTGTTTTCTTCCTTGGTGCTGGGTGAAGAGGTAGAACCCAAGGTCTTAAGCATGTGAAGGAAATGATCTGTTGCTGGGTCACACCCCCAACCCAGATCAGGATGGATCTAGGCAGATTAGGGGTTTCTAAAATGTGGATTCTAGGCAAGCACTGTATCACTGAGGCCATGCTCTTAGCCCCTCATTGATAGATTCTAGGCAAGCACTCAACTGCTAAGACACATTCCCACTCTGATTTTATAAGACAGGATCTTGCTACATACCCCAAGCTGGCTTATAACTTGAGATTCCAAGTGTGTACTGAGATTTCAGGTGTACGACCATGTCCAGCCCATAGAGGTTCTTTCTAGAACTTGAAAACTGTCTTGTCTTTATGCAAGTCCAAGTACAGAGATACCAGCCCTGGGCTCCTGAACACCTCTGCTTCACTGTGACCATGTCCCCAACTCCTCGTCACTATGTGTCCTACTCTCAGTCACCATACAACATGCTGATTGGCTCCCTAGCATGTATCCTCCACCTCCCTTTGCTCATGTCCTGAGAGCAGTAACTGTGTCCCACTCAAGGCTATTGCTGACTTATTCACAGACAGAGTCTGGCAGATCATAGGGCCTCCAGAGGCTGAGCCACTGGGAGATCTCTAAGAAACTCATGACTGCTGTGCGCCCAGTACCCAGGGCAGGTGCCTTGGGGATATTTATGGAACCACTCACTGCTCTCTTTCCTCTAGCATGGTTACCAACTCAAAGGTCCTTGGTCAGCTGCTAACGAAAGTCCCTCTATGTGGCTCACTACAGAGCCCTAATCCTCTCTGTGCCTGTAACATCTATTATGAGTGGTCACCAGTCTCTTCTCTGGGTACCTTAGGGAGTCTTGTGCCTGCAGCCCCACAGGCAGTCAGCGCCTGCCTCTCGCTGCTCACAACCCAGTGTCATCCCTGTCATGATCATGGTCCCTTGTTGTTAGACCCATGTCAGTCACTCACGTGTTGGCCATCACTCTGCCCCATCCCCACATCTCACCAGAAGGTCTGCTTCAAGATCATGCCTTGTTCTTCCAACCACATCTTTCTGGCCTCTGCTGTCTTGCCCTTCCCAGCATCCACAACAGCAGGGGGAAATTCTACGAAAAGACCCACCAGCAGCTTAGTGATGAACATGGCCCTCAGCTACTCCAGGGTCCATGGTCCCAGAGGGCAGTATGTGGTATGTGACAGGGAAAGGAATGAGGTAAGCTGCCCAAGAGCATTCAGAGGAGAATCAGGCAACAGATGGAGAAGGGAAGCCCTGAGAAAACAGTGATGGCATAAAAATAGGCCAGAACTACTCACCTTGGCCAGGGGGTGTGAGGCTCACAGCCTGGGCAAGTGCAGCCAAGACCGACTGCTCAGCCAGCCCAAGGCGCAGCCGTCCACTTAAGGACCTGAGGAAAAAGCATCAGGGGTGAGCAGGCTGGCTACTCTCTAGTTTTGCCCTCTACAGTTTGCCTGCTCCTGTCTACCCAATCTCCCCAATCTCCACCTTTTGTGGAACTTCTTCAATGTCCTATCTTCATAGCTTCAAAGGAACCCAAAATTATCACATAACCCCTAAATGACAAGGAAACTAAAGCCAGTCAGGAATGGCCATGACCACTATTTATCCCTGGGAGAAGGAAGCAGGAACCTCACAAGTGACAGGGTATGGGCTTGAGGATGGAAAGTCACAGAGAAGACTCTGCTAGTGGGTGTCACAGTCAAGAACCTGACCCAGCCTAGGCTGTGCTTTAAGCCAGTCACTACACAGGTAGCTAAACCGCCTGCACCTCCACCTCTATCAACCGCAGGCTCTACCTGCAGAGTGGCTGGGAAAACTGACGCCATCAAACAGTAGGTACAAAGCAGAGCACCTAAGAAATTGTTTCAAGACACACTTCAAGAGAGGTCAGTGACTTTCCTTCTACCATCATGATAGTTTTATGTTGAACTCAGGCCAAGGCAGACATAAGTAATCAATCACAGAATTTACCCTTGAGCTTCTCTAGGTAGGATAACCAGTGCAGGGGAGTTCACCCATAAAAGTAAATTATTATTGTTTAATAAGAAATATTCCCCACGAACAGGGGGAGGATAGAAGGGGAGAAGAGAAGGAAGGGGAATGGGAAAAATGTATATAGTTCAATAAAAACAATTAAAGTAAAATAAAAAGAAAGAAATGTTCCCTACAAGCTCACATTTCAATGCTTGTCCACAGCTGGTGGTGCTATTTTGGTAGGCTGTGGGAACTTCAGGAAACTGGGCCTAGCCAATGGAAGCAGGCCACTAGGTCACTGTGCAGCAGATTATGCATGCCTTGGTTCTAGTCTTACTGTTTCCTTGTCTGCTATAATATGAGGAGCCTCTCACACACACACACACACACACACACACACACACACACACACACACTCCTGTTGCCACACACCCTATCATGCCTTCCCCACCATGATGAACCCAAACCTTCCAAATCATGAACCAAAATACTCCTTTCCTCCACCAGGCAGTTTGACCACAGTAATGCAAAAGTAACTAACAAGGATTCCTATGCAAAGTCAGAACTGTTGGTGCTTTTCTCATCAGAAGGCAGTCAGGTTTTTTAAAGCACCTGGGGCTGCCAGGTGCTCACCACTACGCCCATATGCCTCCCCCAGTCTCATGAGCCCCATGTTTACCTGGCAATGAATCGGGCTTCTGAGTGGCGTCAGGCGACAAAAAGGCCCTTGATGATGTCCACCTTCTTAGCCATGGACTGAAAAAGTGGAGAACAGGCACAGCACCATCAGAGAAGGAACCAGACAATCTTCAGCTTTGGAAAAACTGCCACACCACTACCGCCACCACTACCACCTGTTGTAGCCTCTTGCTCTGACATGAACTAGCTCTCTGCCTCTCTCCCTTTATCCAACAAGCATTAACAAGAGTTCTGCCCTCCCCACCCAGGAGGCATGGCATTAGGTTCCAGGGTCTCCAGAGAACAGGATGAGACACTGTGAACCACACAAGCAGAAAAGAACACTCAGCTTCCCCAGTCAAAGCACACAGTCCCCTCCACATGCTTTGCTTTAGGTCCGAGGATATCTGGGTGTTGGGATGAGCCACTCCGCTCCACTTACAGCACTGCCAGTGAGCCGGGCAATGTCACAGAATTTGGTAAAGACCCCGGAGGTGGTGAGTGGAGGTGGGGGCAGCATGAGTCTCTGAGTGCTGCGGCTGTTTTCGGCCACCAGTCCCACATCACCCTTCTCAGCTACCTCAGCCCGGATGGACTCCAGCTGACGACCTTGATGGAGGAGACAGTAGGGAAGGAAAGGGGATGGAGACATTGTGTGGCTACCTGTCTCCCTTCAATGGCTGGATGCTTCTCCAGCTATCTGGGCTTGTGGAGTTTCCCGTTTCCTACAGATCACTTCCTTAGTACAGAAGAAGGCTAAACAACAGCCACTCAGAGGAAGACAAGCAGCTGAGTGAACACACCCAGACTCAGGGGCACGAGTGGACGGGACTAAAATCCATGGGATGGGACGAAGTCAATGAAGAGTGAAAAGGGCTTCCTGTTCAAATCTTAGTCTCTTAGTCTCTAATAGTCTCCAGCCTCCTGTTTATTTTGTTTCTGTTTCTGTTGTTCTACCTTTCAAAAATAGCAATAAAAATATGGGCTGTGCCTTAACCTTGATTATGGTTAAATCAGAGTCACATTATGGTACACTTGAGGTACGAACAGGAGGCTGGCAAGATGGACAGGCAAGCAGTCACGGCAATTCAACGGCTGAGTTTGTCCCATTGCCTGTCTTCACCCCTCCTTTCCATCCACAGCTCTTGTCCCAACAGGCTGGGCCTCCACACCCTGTACTACCCAGATCTTAAAAATCTGGTCCTGTCAAGTACTCTTCCCCACTGGCCTCTTCCTCTACCCTGTCCCACTCCCAACCTCTTCACACCCTCCAAGTGTCACCTCCTGTTGGGGCCTCCTACCTGTGGCCTGGGCAACTGCCTTGAGGAGGACACCATCACCAACGCCCAGCTCTAGTCCCTGCTGAGGTGGCCCAAGGCGGCTGAGGCTGAGGTAAAGGACAGGGAGCAGGTCTGGGGGTGACAGGGCCACCACAGAGCGTAGCAGGTTGCTCAGTGTCTCCACCATCTTGAGGCTAGAGGAAAGAGTTGGAGTATGTCCACCTATCTCAAGGTTTAGGATCCCAGGAAGTGAGGGGGTGGGCAAAAGCAACAATAGAAAGAAGAGGGACAAAGAGCCAAGGAAACAGTGACAGCTTGCCTATGGAGGATAACTGTGAAAAGGACAATGAAGATGGTAGTAATCACTAACGGAACAGCCGCCACGTACAGACACTTCCTCAAGAGGGTGCTGGTTTACCCTTTCCACCATTTGTCCCCTCTGAAATAGGTGGCATCATTATCCCCAGTTTACAAGAGAGAAACAGGCATGGAAAGAATGAGACTTGCCCAAGGTCATGAAGCATCAGGCTGAGGTTCAGGCTGAGGTTCAGGCCGAGGTTGTCCACTCCAGGACACTCAGCCACTGAAAATGATGGCCAGGGTGCCTACGAAATGTTGGTTATGGTGACACAAACACAAACTGTGGGCTTCCTATTTGCCTGGCTTACATGGCCTAACTGAAGAGGCCGTGTAGGCTGGGGATGTAGTCCAGTTGGTAGAATGCTTGCACAGCATACACAAATGCCCACACAAACTGAGCACAGAGACACACCTCTAATCCTACTACTCAGGAGGTGGAGGCAGAAAGAGCAAATCAAGGGCAGTACGAGCTACATGAGACCTGTGACAAAAACAACTAATTTTAAAGAAAGGCTGTGTTTTCTTACAACAGATGTTGGAATGTGCAGACACCTTCCTTCCTAAACCCTTATCTACTCAGCTCCAGAATGGGACGTATCTTGAAATAAGAACTTTGTAGGTAGGATTAAGGATAGAGAGGAAAACATGCTGGATTAGAGTGAACCCTAATCCCAAGGTCTCTCAAAGAATAGGACAGAGAAAGAGAAGGTGGTAATAATACAAGCCTAGAAATGCGAAGGTTGGCTGGAGTCCCAGAAGCTGGGAGAAATTGTGCCAGGTTCTCTCCCCAAGTCTGAAGAGGAGTCAACCTGCCAACCAACAACCAAATGGTTGCCACCACTTTAGGCTTCTGGAGTTGTGAGAAAATCATTTTCTATTGTTTTAATTCACCAAATGGCAATCTGTTTCTGCCACCCTGGGACAGCAGCAGAGGTGAAACAGTGGGTGGATATAAGAAAAGGAACAGGAAATTTCCACAAGGTTGCTAAGAGGGAAGCTGCATAGTGGAAAAGCCAGGCATTCAGCTTTGGGACCAGCTAATAGGGGACTAGATCAATGACATTATATGTAGTGAGAAAGCATTGTCTGAAACTAGTTCTGAGGATACATACTACAAATCCAAAGTGAGACCTTCACCCAAGTGGCCAAAACTTTCAGCAAGTATCAAGGTCACAAAGGACAGAGACAGATGGAGGGGATGCCTGCGGACAGGCCAGCTAAACACCACAGGCAGGAACCCCAGACAAGAAACCCGAACAGAAATGGGTATCACAATGCAAACGAAGGCAGGAATCTCTAACAGCCTTGTGTTGCCATCTTGATTCTGACCATCTTGGTTCTGACCAAAGCCCGAAAAAGACATCAACACAAAGGAAGCCAGTAGTCCAGATATATGACGACACTCAATTACTTTTGAAGGTTTTCTAAAAAATCTTCCCAAAAACCTTTTAAAAATGAAACAAACAAATCGGATAACCCTGTACCCCATGATTTTAGGCTATGGGTCAGGTCAGCCAACTGCAGTTCCTTCTAAATAGATAATGTATGAGATTCTCCAAAAGCTAATGTCTCCCCTATGTCATGTTGATAAATTCAGTCTCCACAGAAGGCAGAGATGTATGTTCTCTCCTTTATTCATGGGGAAACCGAGTCTCAGAGAGGTAGACCAAGCCACCTGCCATGGGCACAAAGCCAGGAAGCAGAGCAATGTTAACTGTCCCCTTGACCACCTCACCAGCTGCTGCTATAAAAACCACTTTCTGGTACTCCAGGCCCTTCCCATGTCCTCCATCTCCTCACTGTAGGGTTACACTCCATGGGAAGTTCTTAAACATTCCCAAGGAAACATTTCTAAGGACAAAGCATTGAGGACAGCCTAAAGATGTATAAAAATGAAGGAATGTTATAGGAAAATTTAAATATTCCAGAAAAGCTTAAGCCAACATGGAGAAGTAAAAATGAGATTGATCAAACAAGCACAGGCAGAACGAGTATACCCCATAACACTTATACCACAGAAGAAAGCCCTAGGAGAAAGTCCAGAAAGGGACAGGACTGGGGAGAGAGGCGAAGGAGCCACCATGGACTACTGATGCTGATGTTGTGCATCACTGGGAGGGAAAGCTCTGCAGGGGAAGTGTGGCAAGCAAGGTCACCCTCTCTGTAACCAAGATTAGACTACACTCACTTGAGATGTGGAAGCAAGACTGAAATCACTTGGTGAGAAACATTTCCTGTAATTCCTAGAATCTGTTTCCTAACCCTGCAGATCCGGCTGACCCTTGTTTCTCAAACAGGCACATTCAATCTTTGACACTGCAAAGTCCACACTCGAGAACAGTGCAAGTTCTCACGATGCATTAAGTGTAAGATTTCTGTGTTGAGCTACAGTCACAGCTATCTTTGAGCACAGGTTGGACCTGGGCCCACTTAGATCAAGAGAATATGACATTAGAAACGATTCTGTTGTGGCACATGTCTTTAATCCCAGCACTGAGAAGACAAAGGTAGGCAATCTCTGCGTTCAAGGCCAGCCTGGTCCACATAGTAACTTCAGGCCAGCCAGGGCTACATAGAGAGACCCTGTCTCAAAAAAAAGAAATGATGCCGAGAGTCTTCTGAGGCTGGGCCTCAAAATGATGTGAGCCATTTTTGTGAATGGACAGTGACAGTGATGGGGAGAAGAGATGAGGAAGGACCGCAAGGAAGAAGGCAGCACACAATGCCATGCTCTAGACAGAGCCACAGAGCACCTGTCCCCAGACCTGAATAATTAATTACCGAGCAGAAACCTCCTCTATCTTCTCAAATGTCCGGGCCACAGCAAGAAAAGGAACCCTGGGAAAGAAAAGAGATGCGAGAACCATTTGAATAGGCCAACATATCCTGTATCCAACCTGCCTCCTCACACCCTCCTAGGGGATAGCCTTGACAATACCAAAATGCAGAGGCAACTATCCACTATCCCTTCCTATGGTGCTGTGTCCCCAAAATAGAGATGGGAGAGATGTTACAGACCTTCCAAAGAGGTCAAAGTCACAGCCTCCCACAGTCACAGTACAGAAGTAAGACAGCTAACTCCTTACTTCTGGTCGTGTTTCCAGCAGGCATCTTCAATAGGATGGTAGTTACTCTTGGAAGGATTGTAGTTTGTTGGATCCAGGGTTCTATGAAGGCAAAGGAGAAATAAAATTGGGTAACTCTGAGGAATGTTTCTACTGTGTTTTAGCTGACTCATAAGGCCAAAGGCCACCAATACCATCTCCTCACTGGTAGAAATAGGCAGGAGCTCTACCACTGAGCCTCTACTGCCTCACTGATTGATTCTAGATAGGTGCTCTACTAATGAGCCACACTCCAAGCCCCTCACTGCAGGGGTGAGAGGGGGAATCCTATGCAGTGGTTCTACTAAGCCATATCCAGCTCCTTGCTGGTGGATTCTAGGCAGGTGCTCTACCACTGAGCCTTGCCACCAGGCCCTCACTGGACAATGATTCTGAACAAATCCTCTACCATTGAGTTACAACCCCAGCCCACATGGTTTTGAGTAAAGCAAGAATGGGGTCTAATCCCATTACTTTGTAGGATTCTTATCCACCTATCCACCTGATTGCCCGTCCATTCAACAAATTTTCTTGTGTTCATAACTGGTGATATAAGAATGGCCTAATCATGATGGACAGTAGTGGCGCACGCATTTAATCTGAGCATCCGAGAGGCAGAAACAGGCAGATCTCAGTGAGTTCGAGACCAGTCTGGTCTACAGAGCAAGTTACAGGACAGGCTCAAAAGCTACAGAGAAATCTGTCTTGAAAGAAAAAAAAAAAAAAAAAAAGAATGGTCCAATAACAATAAAACAATCACTTAACAGCCGAGAACCACAACTCTAATTCACAGTAGTTATCAGGAAAGAGAAGCGGCTCTAGGTGGTCCATACCCATTAGCCACTCAGGGCTGACAAAGAGGTCCTCAGGAGAGCCCAATGAAGATGCTTATTGTTTCTGAAACATGTGCTCAACCTGGTAAGCAGGATGGTGGAATCAGAGTACTAAGAACTGAAGACAGAGTGCTGGGTGGGGACCAGTTGGCAAAGGGGCTTGAGATTTTGTTCTGGGGTTAGTGCATAATCACTCTGACGGGTGGATAGGTAAGAGAGGTAAGAAATCCCCATGATTACATTGCCGTGTCACATAGGTGCCCCCAGTCCTTTGACAGACAGACAATCCTTTGGAGGCTGGCTGGAAGTCAGGTAAGATGCCAAGCAATCAATGCATATGCAAACTCTGTCTCTGAGCAGTTCTTATTCTGCCTGCATCCTACGGCTTTGCAACAGGGGCCAAAGATGTCTAAAATACTGACCAATGCCCAAGCCCTCTGAGCGTAGGAAGCCCAAGCTGGGGCTGAGTCATGGGATGAAGACGGGAATGTCCTAGACGTTCTCATACCTGGGCACGACTTACCCCTTGGTCTCTTCCTTCCTTGGAGTACCTGACTCTTCTTGTTTCACTTCAGGTTTCACTGCTGGCTTCCGGGGAGCTGCAAGGGAAGACAGGGAGTAGAGGACCTGACTCCTGACAGTCCCACCTTCCAAGCTTTGTCCAGCCAGCACTGCCTGAGCAGAGTCTGCAATCTGCTGGCTGCACAGCCCAGAGGAACAAGGGGAGAGAGGTGCTCACCAAAGAAGCTGCTGAGTGTCTTGGTACTTCTAGCAGGAGGTTTGCTCTGCTCCTCTTCCTGAGGATCCTGTTTGACGCCAGCCTTACACACTGGAATGTTCTCTGTCTTTGGCAGGGCTTCTGACTCTGAAGTAAGAAAGGTGATAGAAAGAAACTGTTTCTACCTATAGACTTTAAGAAACCAACTTCCCTGTATCCTAGAAGTGGAAAATCGAACAATCCCGACCTTTTTCCATCCGTTATGTAATGTTCACTCCACAGTGCTAATGAAAGCACAGCTAAACTGGCAGTGAAAAGAAACCTCGACACCCAGCATCTGCCTGAAATCCCAGCCATTCGGGACACCAAGGCAGGAGGATATAGGAAGATCCTGTCTCAGACAAACAGAAACATAGAGCTGGGGGTGTGACTCAGTGGTAGAGGACTTGTTTAGAATCCCCCAATGGGGGGCTAGGGGATGGTTCAATGGTAGAGCTCCTCCTGCCTAAAATCCCCAGAGTGGGGCTGGGGGTGTGGCTCAGCAGCAGAGCACTTGCCAAGAACCCACTAGTTAGAGGGCTGAGGTATGGCTCAGTGTGTTAACAGAGGTCTGAGATGTGTTAAACCCTTGCCTAGGATGTGCCAGGCTCTGCGCTCCACCACCAGGACCACAAAAAAAAATAACTAAAACCTTAGTGTGATTTGAACAGTCTCACTTTTCTTGCACTTGTAGGAAACCAGATCCAAGTATGTCTTAAAACTGTCCTTGTAAACGTCACCTATGACACAAGGATCTCAAGGACACCAGGGCACAGAAGCTGCACCATGGCCTCCAAGGCCCTCCTGCTTCTGAATCTTATAACTAAATTTAGATGTCACTCTTAATAAATACCTACTCAGTTCACTGTATTTGATTGGCACTTCTGATGTCTAAAAGCACAATTATTTGAGGGCTCTTTCCTCTTTTCCCTCATACAAACAGTAAACCCAACAGTAAAAACAAAATCTATGATAACCTTGAGAGTTCCCACTGAACCCAAGATGGAGAGTTGTGCCTTGTTTTAAATGGCCCACCCTACAAAGACAAGTACCACCCCAATCAGGATCATGAAGCTGGGGGAATAAGCAACTCACCAGGGGACTTTGCAGGCTCAGGGGGCACTATGGACTGACTCCCCTCCTTTTCTTCCTTCTGTTTTACATCTTCAGCCTCTGTGAGACTTTCTGTTGGGGTCTGTGCTTCTGGGGATACACAAAAAGTTAAATGGCAGTAAGGCTTAGAGGCACTCCCACCCAATAGATAGTCCAGGACAGGAAGGTCACAAGTTCAAAGCCTGCCTAAATTACAGACTAAATTCGATTTTTTTGCCTGGGCAACTTTGTAAGACCCTGTTTCAAAAACAAAACGATGACATGTAACTCAGCAATCCAGCACTTGCCTAGCCTGTACATTTTTATTTACAAATGTAATGAAAAGTTATGCCCCGGTAATGATAACACCCAAGACTAACTTGGGGGGAATTTGCCTTAGGACAAAGGTAACTCCTTTTACTTTGAGATACTCAGAATGGCTAAAATCTCCAACTTACAGTGAAATTTTTGACGGACTACAGATTGCCAATAGGAAATCAAGTCTCCACCAAATTAATCAAACCTGCCATGGGAAACTGAGTCTATTTTTTTTTCTTAGCACATAAACAAGAACCTGTGTCAGAGACTGCAACTGAATCACAGTCAGCCCCCATGATCATTGGATCTATCCCCATGGCTGTTTCCCTGCACTGCATCAAGACAAAAGGAACTGTCTCAACAGGCTGACAGTCTAGAGTCTCCAAAGGAACACAGAGACACCTGCTGGACACTAACTGAAAAACTAGCAGAGGGAATTTTGAGTTTTCAGTTATCTCAAAGTAGAAAGTATATCTCAAAGTACATCCTTGGATAAACTCACCACCAATGAAAAATAATTTCCCTGAAAATGGGATGTGTTGTATGAGAGAAGAATGTATTAAAAGAAAAGAAAAATACACAAAAAAACTTCAACAAACCAATGGTTAAAAATAATAATAATTATTATTAGTTCCATTAAATAAAAACAAAATTAGTTATATACAATACTGAATTAAGTCGGGCAGTGGTGGCGTACGTCTTTAATCCCAGCACTCGGAAGGCAGAGGCAGGCGGATCTCTGTGAGTTTGAGGCCAGCCTGGTCTACAAGACTTAGTTCCAGGACAGGCTCCAAAGCTACAGAGAAGCACTGTCTCGAAAAACCAAAAGGAAAAAAAAATCCTGAAATTAAGGCAAAAAAAAAAAAAAAAAAAA